CCACCGTGAAGGATCTGAGTCTACAGACACTAAACACACACCACCGTGAAGGAGCTCAGCCTACAGACACTAAACACACACCACTGTGAAGGAGATCAGCCTACAGACACTAAACACACACCACCGTGAAGGAGCTCAGCCTACAGACACTAAACACACACCACCGTGAAGGAGCTCAGCCTACAGACACTAAACACACACCACCGTGAAGGAGCTCAGCCTACAGACGCTAAACACACACCACCATGAAGGAGCTCAGCCTACAGACACTAAACACACACCACCGTGGAGGAGCTCAGCCTTCAAGATACAAGACATCCATCCATCCATTAACCCATCATCAAACGTCTTATTACTTATGACCAGTTGGAAAATTAACAACAGTTTTTTTGGTACATAAAAAGGGTAAAGCTGACCAATAAGGCAAGACCTGCTTATCTTTGTATATTTTTATTATGATATACTGTATGTATTACTCTGAGACTGATGCCATTCATATGAGACCAAACAGAAAGATGTGCAGCACCTGCAGTCACATAAATCAGCCTTTCTCACATCTAAGTGCTCCGCATGGACTTGCTGTGGCCCAGCTCCAGGAGAAAAGGTCACGAAGGAAGCCTGTGAGGGTGGCTTTGTGGACCAGCGCTCGCTCGCAGAGCTGTGGTGGCTCTGATATATTCCTGAGTAATTCCGTGAGTCCAGGCTGCTCTGTGCCAATTTGGCTGTTCTCCTTGGGGTGAGACACGATGCAGGCCTGAAGGGACTCAGGTTCATGTCATGCGTTACAGCATTCATCCCAAAGTGACCCTCCCAGCCTACTGTGATTCAACAGAGAGGCAGCAGACTAACTGTCCCCTTCATCACCGTGACAACAACAGGGCACCCAGCATGCAATGACAATAGCTGGGAAAATAGAAAAACAAGATGTTTAATGTATGAGATGTAGATAGAACCACAGAAAGAAAGAATGTAGTTCAGTGCAACCATTTATGTTCAACATTCACTCTGCACTGTATGCTGTCTGCTGTATATACATTAATGTGTGCACTCCATAGGAGAGTACATAACATGCTGAATACAGAAATGTTCAAAGCCCCTGAAGGGACCGGTGCAAGAAATTAAAATGATGTTACTTTCGCCTGTGAACGACTTACTTAAGAGCAATTAATTTTTTTGCATGGGTCCCTTCAGGGACTCCGTAGACGTGCCTTTGCCTTAAAGAATAATTATTTTTAAAATCCTTTTTTTCTTCCATTCCTTCCTTCTAAAGTGGACCTCCTGGGATCTAACTAACAACCTTGTAGTATGTCCATTTGAACATCAATTTTCCTTTTCCATTCTAGCCAAGACAAAATGTCCTGTCTGTTTTTGACCTCGCCAATTTTGACCCCCCTCCCCACCAATCCACAATCCCAAAAATTGTGACAACACCCAAGGCTGCATTTCTGCAAGCCCAGTGGTGTGTATTTTCCCAGCATAAAAGGGCGCTCACTGGTGCAGACACCCACGTTTACACTTGTCGGCAGAGCGCTGGGCCATGGCGTCGCCGTAGTAACCATGACGACATCTCTCGCAGTGGTCACCCTCAGTGTGGTGCAGGCACTTCAGGCACCGGCCGCTCAGGTGGTCGCACACCCCCACCGCGTTGTAGTCTGCATTGCCGTGGCACTCGCAGGGGGCGCAGGGTCGCTGGGGGCCATACCTCCCCAGGGGGTCTCCGTAGAATCCGTCGTCACACATCTCACATCTGGTTCCTGTAAAGTCAGTGGAAGGTTGGAATGGGCATCAGGTTTCAGCGTGATGATGCGTCACTGTCAGTTTGCCGTTTCATTGTGACGTGATCAGAGGAGCGCAGTGAAATTGTTATGCCACAGTTGCAGGGTAGAAGACAGGAAAATGGGGGACAACAGGACAAATGTCAATGCAATATAGGACAGCACAGCTGCTCAGCACAGCTACTGTATGTGGCACAGCCTTGCTGAGGTGTGATGCCTTAAGTTCCAGTGGACATTATAGATGCTGTAACGGAACAGAGATGCTTTAGCTTATGAGGCTAGCAGTGTCTAGAAGACAAATGAAAGTAGAAAGAAAGAAAGGATAAAGTACTGAGGCATGAAGGACAAATGACATGATAACAGACTTCATTATGTTGCAGAGAAATTATGATCCATCATTCATGGCAAACAGCAAGTACACATGTTCATAATTCAGTGTCAAAGACCTGCAGTGTTAACGGTCACTGCAGAATCATACATGGACTGGCTTACTCCTACGAGCAGCTGGCCAGTCTGTGCCGTGTTAAAGGTCACTGCAGATTCACATGCAGCTTGGCTTACCACTATGAGGAGCTGATCAGTCTGTGCAGTGTTATTGGTCACTGCAGATTCATGTGCAGACAGGTCTACTCCTACAAGCAGCTGGCCAGTCTGTGCAGTGTTAACGGTCACTGCAGATTCTTGCACAGACCCGCTTACCCCTACGAGTAGCTGAACAGTCTGTGCAGTGTTAACAGTCACTGCAGATTCACACACAGACCCGCTTACCCCTACGAGTAGCTGAACAGTCTGTGCAGTGTTAACGGTCACTGCAGATTCACGCGCAGACCCGCTTAGCCCTACGAGTAGCTGAACAGTCTGTGCAGTGTTAACGGTCACTGCAGATTCACGCGCAGACCCGCTTAGCCCTACGAGTAGCTGAACAGTCTGTGCAGTGTTAACGGTCACTGCAGATTCACACGCAGACACGCTTACCCCTACGTCCAGCTGGGCAGTTTGTGCAGATCACCTCCCCGGTCTCAGGCACCTGAGCACAGCTTGTCTGCTCTGGGCAGGGACATGGCTGGCAGTCGCTGGGACTGCCCATCAGGGCGTTTCCATAGTAACCATCCAAGCAGCGCTCACAGGAGGCCCCCGTGGTGAAGTCTGTACATTGACATACACCTGGAAACAAATAAATGGCTTGGGCATTAGAGCGGCTGTTTTTGAGCAGAGAACAGCAGACAGTGCAAGGCCTTACTTCCCAGGAGACACTGCAGCTGCTTTCAGAAAGCAGCAATTAAAATTTCACAAAAATGACATGTGCTGCCTAGCTTATGAATGAAATCACGTCCATTTATATTCATCATGCATAGGGAAGCACACAATGACTCAGAAACACAGAAATCATTTCCCATCAGATAAGGACAATATCTGCACTCTGTTATACATCCAGCAGGTGGCGATGCTTTCTAGGCCTTCAGAGCACCACACTTTACCTTTTATACAGAGAGAAAAGAAACAGATTGTTTTTCCATAACATTGCTAATGGCACCAGAAATTGCACTAGGAACACACTGAAAAAAATACAGACTGGAAACAATTCATTTCTAATTCTAAGGACCACACAATTCAAAAACTAAACATCATACTTTCTAAATTAAGCCATTAACAGGTCACATATGCATCAAAAGTGAATAAATGACTTAGCAGACACTACAGAATTTACCAGTAAGATGCTAACTGGATACTCAGGTTTGGAAGTATAGCAGCAGACCGTGTAGACAAATCCTGTACCTTGACAACAGAACAATTTAGTAGAGGACTGGCCACATTCAATTCTGAATGTCTAAGTTAACTGCTACTGTTGTAAACCGCACATGACCAGGAGTATTTCATAGTGCCCATAATGCAGTGTTCTGAAGGACATTCTGTTTCATTGCTTCTCCGAAGAAACAATTTAATTCCGCAGATTAAGTTTTTTCAAGGTTGTTGCCAGATTTTTCTTACAGGGAAAGGTTCAAATATAACCAATGAGGCCTTCTTGCCATATATCATTCACATGTATTGCATGTACAGACCAATGGGGAGGAGCTCAGTAGTCAAGAGATTCCACTAATATACAAGCAAGCGAAAGTGCTGAAACAAAACCCCCAGTTAACTGCATGTTTGACAATAATGAAACAGAACAATAATGAATGTGTGTCATACTTGAATTACTCAATTAAAAAATCTCAGATGTTCAAGTATTCAATATTATTAATAAAAGAATTTGAATATTACTTCAAGATGTTAATATATGCTTTTATTTCCTTGTGCCTGGACTATTGTAATGCACTTTATTTTGGGGCCAGCTAGACTGCGCTGTCTCGTCTGCAGCAGGTGCAAAATGCTGCCGTGCCCCTACTAAGCAAATCCAAAAAACATCACACCACATCACTCTGATTTTAGCACCGTTACACTGGTTGCCGATGAAACTTCGAGTGGAGTATAAAATTTTATTGCTTGTTTTTAAAACCTATATCAGTGACCTCATACATCCTTACTGTCTACCGAGTGCCCTGAGGTCATCTGATCAGCCGCTGCTCTTCGTACCAACCAGCCGTTTGAGGAGGAAAGGCGACTGCTCCTTCTCCATAGCCAGGCCCATGTTGTGGAACAAACTCCCTCTCCATTTCTGATCTGCCCAAACCATTGAATGTTTTAAGTCGTGGCTAAAAACTCATTTATTTGCTGAGGCATTTAGATAAATGTGCTGTGTGATTTATTACAATTTTTGTACAAATTTTGTTTTATGTAATTTGCTTTTTCCCCTTGCTTTTTCTGCATATTGTTTTTATTGATGTAAAGCACTTTGGTCAGCCACTGGTTGTTTTTAACAGTGCTAAATAAATAAAATGACTTGACCTGACTACAAACTGTTTCATAGAATCTGTTTCACATAAATATTGAGCATTTAAAAGACCGATGGTGAACACAGAATAAAATAAAGTCATAATCATTCATTGAAGCTTCCATTAACAATGGTTAAATATAATTACCAGTTATGTAACACTGTGATGTCCTGATTAAGAATGTCCCAAACATTTCCACATGAAGATATTAAGAGCTTTAAGGTCTGGACCTGGAGTTTCAAGAACATTTTTTCTGTATGAAACACTTTGATATAAAGTCTCCTGTGACTTCTAAAATATGCCCTGAAACCCAGCAACCATCACAAAAAGTCCGGCCTTTCTGTCCTTACTGAAGACAACCTTTTGTCAAATGTTGCCGCACAAGAGAACTCGTGCTCTTTGGCTCGAAACCTTCACACAAAGATTCTGATTTTGTATTTTTAGGTGAGCACATGCTGACTTTAATCATAAAAATCACAGCAACCAAAATAATTCTTCCATTCTCTGAAGAGCCCTGAGATATTATTGCATTGGACAGATCCTCTGGTAGTTTCCCAAGACTATGTTTACAAATACCCTCATAAATAAAGGAAGGCTGATTTGAAAGCATTATCTCTATTGATGCCATTTTTGGATCAGGCATGCAGAAGACAGCAATGTTAGGTTTTTCAAGCTATTTTGATTGGTTAGATTAGGGAACAGAATTAACGGTTCCTCCAGGATATGTTTTTTGTCATTCCTTTAGTTTATTTATTCTCCAAAATTCAATTTAGAAACACTCCCAAATCATTTAACTTCACCCCAGGAGGTCCAGGAATATCAGGAATTTCTGAGAAAATGCACAGTCTAAGTCTTTATGTAAATAGACTAAGCAAAAGATCCATATCTGAGCCAGAGTGAGGAAATGAGGTGCCCGCCAGTGAAAGCCCCTTCATTTCCTCTGTTTTTCTCCTAGGGGGGCCTTTGCAGCCACAAGTTACAAACTAATTGCTGTGATTTCCATACAATAACAGCGTGCTCAGCTTGATTGTGTTTTACCGAAGCTCCGCTGGACTAATTCAATTTCATTTTTGATCTCTGCCTCTCTCGCCATTATACTTTTAAATGACAAAAGGCTGTACTTATAGCAATCTGATGAAGATAGTCTCGCAAGCATTGAAACTGAAAGAAGTCTTTGAGGGAAATAAGACTTAACAAAGACAGGGTTTGTAACGCTATCTGCTTTTCCGCTCGCACCGCTAACCTGTTGCTGGTGCTCCTTAGCCACAGATTCAAAGTGAGACGGATATGTTAATCTCACTGAGCACATATGCTCGGAGGATTTCAAGTAAGCTGATTCGCTTACTTACTACATGTGTATTGGTACAGATTATTTTGGAAAAGCTTATCTTCAATAAACAGACCACATAAAATTATAGGCATAGAATCTCCTTCTAGAACATGGTTGATGTAAGAGCCCCCTGATGAAAGATCCTCTTGATTTAGAGGTGCAGCTGGCAGAGGTGAGACACAAGGCCCAGTGTATTAGCTGGACAAATCTTCCTTGCATCATGAACATGTGTTTCAGAAGCCCAGGGCAGGCTTTAAAAAGCCAGCATGAATTAATAGAAACATAAGCGACATACGATGAAAGGAAGTATCCTAATTTAGGGGTCCTGGTACTCTGGACTTACTCAGTCAAAGAAGAGAGCAAATAGGCCCTTTGAAATACAGTATGAACAGTATGAGGCAGCACTCAAATGTATATAAAGATATTTCCCATCAGAGAATGCGGAGCGACTGGGACTGGTCGTGCTGGGAGTCTATTCATCCTTAGATCCCTCTTCCTCTGCCTCTCATTGCTCTGTCCATTTCAAACTAGGAGTAATTATAGATTTGACTTTTTGTGATTATTTATATAAATGTATATTTTTATCAAAACTTTCAATTGTAAATAATGAAAAAAAAAATGTCTCTAGCATTTAAACTGTTCACTAGCTGAATAGATGTTTTGACGTTAACAGGATGTTTTTTGCTTGTTGAGACAGACCACCATGTCTTATTTGTATGTATGCTGGCATTTGTATTGTGTGACAATAAATAGTTTGAGAATGTTTTGCGCTTGCTGTGTGCATTATTGCTCTGTTTGCCATGTGGTTTGGCCTCTTCAAAACAAGAGGTACTATTAGCAGCTGTAAGTGACGCACAGGAACTACAGGGGTAATTACGCGTTTAATTTATTTAGGTGATTAATCCACTATAGTCTGCAATCCTGGGAGATTTGTTCCTATGGTTATTTATTTGTTAATACGGCCCCCCACCCGCGAAGATAGCCGGCCTCATTTGGTTTGCATTTTAATGGATGGCGTGTAAAAGACGGACATATGCTAGACATCATTAGCCCCGAAGTGCACCTCTCTACAAAACAAATTCATTCTTAAGCTGCTAATATTAACATTTCCAGTCTGTTTGGTTGCACTACAATAAAAAGCAATGGCAAGGAGATGCTGAGCATAAATAAATCACGATTATGAAGCTCCAGTGCTTCTGACCGACCATGCAGACAATGTAAACTTATTTCAGGCACACAAAGTAACTTATAGCCATCTATCATGCAGTTACTCTGAATTAATGCAAATAAAGTTCTGAAATGTGGTTGCATATGGCCTATAACACAACAGATAATAACCGTTTTAAACAGACTGGAGATTATTCAAGTAACTTAGTTGGCGCTAGTTAATAATTTTTATAATGTCTTGAATATGTTGTGCTGAGCTTGCAGTTTTTCTACTAAAGCTGAATTAAAATAAAAAAATAACCCTATTGGCCTTCAAATTAATTCATGTTCTTTTATAATGATTGAAATTGCAGAGCCATCCATTTCCCACACTGCTTAAGCAGTACAGTCTCAGTTAAACTGGAGTCTGTCACAGGACACATGGGACACCACAGACAGGATGCCAACCCTTCAGTGGGCAAATCGCTGCACACTAATGGCACTTTAGAGGCACCGACTTGAATGTGTGAGGACCCAGTGGAAACACATCTGGGCAAGTGGAGAACCACACACACTGGGAATCAAACCTACAGCGTCAGGGATGTGCAGCTATAATGCTAACCACCATATCACACACACACTGGGAATCAAACCTACAGCGTCAGGGATGTGCAGCTATAATGCTAACCACCATATCACACACACACTGGGAATCAAACCTACAGTGTCAGGGATGTGCAGCTATAATGCTAACCACCATATCACACACACACTGGGAATCAAACCTACAGCGTCAGAGATGTACAGCTATAATGCTAACCAGCATATCACACACACACTGGGAATAAAACCTACAGTGTCAGAGATGTACAGCTATAATGCTAACCTCCATATCACCTTGACTGTGTGCAACATATGTAACTTCTTGAGCACTGGGGACTAATCATACATTTGTAAGCACGTAGCCATTTAATCACAGGCAGTTTAAGCAGAACACAATGAACAGCTTGGCTACACAACACCATCACTACTCAGCAAGCCAATGAAAATGGAAAAAAAAAATCAAAAGTCAACACAGTCCCTTAACAGCTGTTTATTTTTGATGCCCAATTGTTCCCAGAGAATGCCTGTGGATTCCAGAAGAGGGGAGATCAAACACCTTGCTCTCTAATCCATTTTTTACCACCATGAAAACTACAACTAAAAGCTAAATCTCATAGCATCCCCTTTGTTGTTCAGCCATCGTTGACGGCTGTATTTTCAGACCCCACCTGGCCTGCCCAGTACAAGCAGGAAGCACAAATGGTCATTAACTTTCATCCATTTAGTGCCAAAACAGAGTCAAATGGTTATAGTTGCTCCCTAACCGCCCTGCCCCCCATAAAAACAGTAAAATAAAATAGGTGGTTTGGAACAGGAGAAAAATGTAAATAAGTGTCAGTCCAGTGATGGACTGGCATCCTGTCCAGAATGTTCCCTGCCCTGTGCCCTGTGATGAACTGGCATCCCGTCCAGAATGTTCCCTGCCCTGTGATGGACTGGCATCCCGTCCAGGGTGTCCCCTGCCCTGTGCCCTGTGATGGACTGGCATCCCGTCCAGGGTGTCCCCTGCCCTGTGCCCTGTGATGGACTGGCATCCCGTCCAGGGTGTCCCCTGCCTTGTGTCCTATGCTGCTTGGGACAGAATCTGCGAGCCAGGATTAAAAGATGGGTGGACATACAAATTTATATTGAAGCAAAGCTAGCAATTTATTTATATCATATGGAGAAAACATTAAAATTAATGAAAGAACACAAATATTGCACAGGTATTCCCTTCTTTTCCTCTACACTGGCTCTTAATCTTCCATATCACTTAAACAGCTGACAATACATCTAATACGCTGTATCAGTCGAGGTCTGCTTGGGTCTGTGAATGGATGAAATGTCTTGCCAGGTTCATGTAAACTAGGCAATTGTCTATTAAGAAAATTATAGCTAATGAATAACTGTCCCCCCCCCCCCCACACACACAGACACTCCTGTGGAATGGGGCACCAGCAGGTGCTTGCAGTTCTTACGGTTAAATGGGTCATAAATCCAGACACTGAAGACAGATCTACCATTGCTAAATTTATTTGCTCATTTAAAATAATTTGATGTAGCCGGCTCTGCTCTCTCCCACCCCCTTCGCAGCAAGCCTCAGTGCCCAACACTCAAACTGCTGACAAGAACAGCGGATCCACTTATGTCCATGCCGGCGTCGTGAGTGAGGAGGAGCGACGAGTGTCCGAGGAACAAGGCGAGTGAATGACGCGTAAGGAAGTGGGCCGACCGGAAGGGAGAGGGGCCGGAGGTGATGGAGGAGCACTGTGGCTCTCTTTACCTGACTCTGCGTGGCAGTGTCCATGCTGGTTGCAGGTGCAGGGAACACAGCGGGAGAGGACGCCCTCACCGGGCACCTCCCTCCTGTAACCCGGAGCACAGCGCTCACAGTGCTGACCCTCGAAGCCCTGAGGGCAGCGGCACATTTCCACCCAGGCCACAGGAGCAGAGGGGGCGGAAGAGGGGGCCGCAGAAGCCAGGCTGACCCTGGATAGCTGGGAGGTATCTGCAGAGAGAAAAACAGAAGGAACACTCTCTGATTGGCCGGCGCATGTATTACAGGGAACTCAAGATGGTTGACGGTGTGATTCTCTCTAGTGAAACTGAGCTAGTCCTTATTGTCAAGCTAAAGGTCAGGGAATTCTATTTATGAGGATCAGAAAAGCAGCAGTAGGCTGGTCACAGACAGCTTGACTCTAACACCGTATGAGTCCTACAGCTTATTAACACCGATGGTCGTCTCTGTCTATGACCTCATTAAGCAGGTCTCTACTACTTGCATGGCACTCATCTGTCCCGTCGTTAACACAGCCAGCCGGCGTATCTGGATCCCTTGCCCTCCCTTCTGCTTGAAGCACCTTCAATAAAACAGCTCAATAAATCTATAAGGAATGAAAGGCTCAGAATAACGGTGAATTAATGTTCTCCTGGTTCAACGCATGAACGGTGACTGGCATATGGCGTGGCCTTCAATATGAAGGCAGTCAGAGGGCAAGACAGTAGCCTATGCAAGGCAGAGCTCTGACAAACAGAGCATGCAGAAAATTAAGCTGACAAAAGAATGTGACGTATCACCACACCTGGCTAGTTACTGAAGTGCTATACTGAAAATTCAATTATGTACAATTAAAATATCACCCTACAAAAACTATTTTTTGAACCTAATTTAAATTATCCAAGCCCTATTATTTTTAGCACTGCTAATCTACCAGGTAAGTTCATGTTACAGACCATGGCAATTTTGACAATACAGCAACAAAGCCCTCAAGTGATCTAGTAATCCAAGTAACATAGCACACACAGAAATGACACCATACTCCAACTCTTCTCCTAACTAAAATGATATCAACTTCAAGAAGCATAAAAGAAAAAGAAATAGACACTAAATTTCTGAGACCAAAGCTTGAGTTAATACAGTATGCTCAACAAAATGCCACCAGTTTAACTAAATCTTGCATGTCACCAGGGTGATAACCAAACAGATTCCATATGCTTGGTGTTCTTCACAAAGCCTTTCCTGGTCGATGGCAGCCTGTCAACACGCCAAGCTGGGCTGGCCGGCCCTCCATTACACAGCTAGAAGATATAGGTCCTGCAGTATGTCCTGGGGCTGTCCCAGGGTCTCTGCCTAGTGGGACATGCTTGGATCAGCTCCCCTGAGTGCAAAACATCCTTTTCAGATGCCTGAAAGACCTCAGCTGACTCCTTTCAACCTAGAGGAGCAGCAGCTCTGTTTCGAGGTCTCCCTGGATCGCCCAACTCCTCATCTTATCATGCAGTGAGCAGGGAATCACATGGAGAAGCTGCATTTCTCTAGTTTGTCTCTAGTTGTCCTCATTAAACCCCTTGGGATTTTAACTGATTATTAATGGGAACATCAAACTGATATTCAAAGAAAATGCTGTAAAGTAAATTATATTTTGAAATAACTACCACACAACTGATATTTCAAATATTTTCCATACAGCTCGTCCAGCACAGGACGGCTGTGACCCTGGAACCTATCCCAGAAAGCAGAGGGCACGGGACATCCTGGACCAGATTAACCGCAGGTCATGCACTCACACTAGAGCCAATTTAGAGAGAACAGCAGAGGTGGTAATTTCAGGTCCAGAAAGTAAAAATCCAGACCATGATTTTGTTCCAACCACCCAGTTGAGCATACCGAGTCACAGTTACAGAGTGCTCAACTGGTTAGTTGGAACAAAATCTTGGTCTGGATTTGTACTTTCTGGACCGGAAATTTCCACCTCTGGAGAACAGTTCACCAAAATGCATGCTTTTGGACAGCGGAAGGACATCAGAGAATCGGGAGCAAATCTACACAAATGCAGGTAGATGATCTACACACACACACAGGTTTCTAGAGAGGAACCGTGGAAGTTTAATGTCACAGTGCTAACCGCTGTGCCACAAACAACAGGTATGACTTGATATAATATAATACCTTTTCTATTGTTGGTATGTTCAGATATGGTACGTGTAATTTATGCAGGAGTTACCTTATTTTTTTTTTAAATATCCTATTGATTTGTTTAAGAGAATGAATTCAAACACAAAACAATTAAGTTGGGCCTGAAAACACCACCTTAATTTATAGCCTCCCAGAATATGATCCCAAAAATGTTTTCTAATCAGTAAAAAAAACCCTCACTTTCTGCAAAGAAGAATGCAAACTGCAGCTCCCCAAGCCACGACCCCACTGCCCACCCCAGTAAGGGACCCGCTGAACGTGACCCGCTTCAGGTGAGGCTAACTGCTTCTGAATATGGCACTTGCCAGCAGTAAGGATGTCGCGATTGTGATTCTGCTCACTGTCGGTTTTGGATGAAACTACATTGCGGATCTGTCTGCTCCTGAATATTCATGAGTGCAGCTACGGAGTGCGGGGCTGCCTGGAATTCATTAGCGCTAGCTGGAGTTCTTTAGCGACAAGCAGGACAGGACGAGTGGTACTGAGAAAATGTACCACCTTCAGCTATTCCTAACGGTACTTCTGCAAACAGCCCGGCAATGACCTGTGCAGGCAAAGCACCCGGACAGAAAGCTAACAAATTAAAGGGGGAGAGGGGGGGCTTTAAAGGAGTCCTCACTAAAAACGCAAAACCCTGGGAAAGGGTGGAATGAATGATTTTGTGTGTAGCTGCTTTTGTAAGAAGACAACACATATACTGCATGCACAGCATACAAATCTGCACACATGAAATACAGAGTCATTTATTTTACATTTAAGCATAATATGTCCGATTCCTTTTGCCTAAATTTATGTCTGGAGCAACAATATTCGTATAAAAAACCACTAGTCAATACAAGCAGAAAGTTATTAAAAAAATAATAGACTAACAGACTTGTATCTGCTGCATAAATCTATGGCCCCTCAAATAAAAACAGGTCTGACCAGTTGCTGTTCAGATGACACAAGAAGTTAATTAGCTTCCATCTGCATTCAACTGCAATGCTTGTGATTAGTTTAGGGTGCGCAGACTTTGGATAAGCACTGTAATGCATGAAGCGAGAGAAAGCGCAAATATTCATGCAGTGTCTGTCCCCTAATGTAGCTACTAAAGTTAATTATCTGAGACGTAGGAAAAACAATGAGTACGACATGAACGGCAGTGTTTTGGGTCTGAGGAAGCGAGCTGCAGCTTTTTCATTTACACCCCATATCTTAAGCCCCCCAGCACAGAGAGCAGGTCGACCTCAAACAAACTCCTCTGACACTAAGTCAAAAATTACTGCCTGCCTATATTTAAAAATGGAGAAGGTCTAGCAGATAAAATGGCTTCCTCCTGTAGCCTTTTGGATGGAAGAAAAAAAAGCAAAGAGACTTCAGTCTGCTTAATCCAGAGCATGGTGATAAGGTTCTCGGTGAAAAATACTGATTATGGCCCGCATCTAGTGAACCTGACAAAGGCAGCCATTCTGACAAAAGAAGTAACAAAAGACTAGAGAGACAGACATGCATGGATAACATGGAGTCACATAATGTTGTAATGTGCCCCCCCCACATTATATATTTTGTAATGTTAGGTACTCGTGGCCCCTGGAAAGTGTTGGGCTCCTGCTCTACTCACGCTATATCATTTGTAATGATTAAAGAGGCTTATTCGTCATGTACACAGTTGTACACATGCAACATGTAGTGGAATGTAACCCTGGTCACTCCGAGCAGCTGTGCATGATAAAAAAAATATAGAAAAAATAAGGAAAAATAATAATATAAGATAAAAAAATACATGAAATGTTCAGCTGTACATAATCTATACATAAGTGATAGGTAACAGGTATTGCGCTGTGCAATATAAGTGCAGTGTGCAAGAGGCCTGAGGGATGTGCCAACACACATGTGTGAAGCAGTACCTAGAGGCATTGAGTACTGTCCTGGTTTATGATAGGTACCCATAGCCCTTGGAAACTGCTGGGCCCCCTAATTTTGCCCCTACTGTTCCCTTGATGCAGGCTAGTGATAGTTATTTGCGTGTTGCTACTTACAGTTCAGCCCCCCAGCGTTACTAATCTTCAGGGCCGTGAGATTGTAGAGGAGGCTCCGGAGCTGCGTCGAGGACAATGACGGCCTCAGTCTCACTTCCTCCTCGTGGAGTCTAGAGCAATGAAATGATACATATGGCAGTTTACTTTCAGATGCACAATCTCCCGGTTAGAGAGTACTGTGATATGCTCAGAAAGTGCAGTCAGTCAGAGTTGCAGCTTCCATTTCCTGGCTAGAGAGTACTGTGATACTCTCAGAGAGTGCAGTCAGTCAGTGTTACAGCGTCTATCTCCCGGTTAGAGAGTACTGTGATACTCTCAGAGAGTGCAGTCAGTCAATGTTACAGCGTCTATCTCCCGGTTAGAGAGTACTGTGATACTCTCAGAGAGTGCAGTCAATCAGAGTTACAGCATCTATCTCCCGG